CTCCTGACTCCTTCTGCAGGCTTTCTACTGATACTCCTTGGCTCCTTGTTACTACTGTCTTTCAGCCACACCTCTGATCTTCTGGTAGGAAAGATCTACTCCTAGCCTTCTCGGACAAATGCGAAAAATCTCAGAGGGCCTGTGTGAAAGTTACGTACGTTAAAGATCCCTTGGTGGTCTAAAATCGATAAGAGTAGGCTTCGGCCGCAACCCGGGCAAAATTCAAATTTCCTACCAACTGAAAATGTTTGGTGCGTCCCGCGCGCTCATATAACCTTATGCAGTTGCGAGCGCCGTAAAACACTTACCAAAAAAACCCTCCCAAAAACATATAATCTTATGAGACAGTGGCAGACTAAACTGTAAACAGCGCGCAAAGGTTTTTTAAAAAATCCTAGATTTATAACTGTACAGATTTTTATCAAGGGTTAAATAATTGCAATTATTGTAATCAAAAGTGCTTTATCAGAAACTTTTATTCTCTAAATTTTTTTACACAGATTAAATTTCAGCCTGCACGAAATTCTACTTCCACCTCCCAGTTGATGTGATTATATGTATAAATTCTACTTCCACCTCCCAGTTGATGTGATTATATGTATAAATTCTACTTCCACCTCCCAGTTGATGTGATTACATGTATAAATTCTACTCCCACCTCCCAGTTGATGTGATTATATGTATAAATTCTACTCCCACCTCCCAGTTGATGTGATTATATGTATAAATTCTACTCCCACCTCCCAGTTGATGTGATTATATGTATAAATTCTACTCCCACCTCCCAGTTGATGTGATTATATGTATAAATTCTACTCCCACCTCCCAGTTGATGTGATTATATGTATAAATTCTACTCCCACCTCCCAGTTGATGTGATTATATGTATAAATTCTACTCCCACCTCCCAGTTGATGTGATTATATGTATAAATTCTACTCCCACCTCCCAGTTGATGTGATTATATGTATAAATTCTACTCCCACCTCCCAGTTGATGTGATTATATGTATAAATTCTACTCCCACCTCCCAGTTGATGTGATTATATGTATAAATTCTACTCCCACCTCCCAGTTGATGTGATTATATGTATAAATTCTACTCCCACCTCCCAGTTGATGTGATTATAAAGAATGATTATTTCTACCCATCGTAAAACCAATTTGGAACCAGGGTGACTATTGCAGTAACCTATAAGCAATCAAATCAAGGTGGTATGTACGTTGAAATTAAAAAAGAAAAAAATGTGAGAGAAAACAAGGGTCTCCAGTGGTTTGCTCCTTCTTTCCTATCAAACATCTGTCTTCCTTATCTCTCCTTCTTTTCTTTGTACGTTGCTCTCTAGGAACTCCTTTTCTCTTCGGCCATATATGTGAGGCAACGTGGTGGAATCAGGCTCTCGTCAAAATAATCAAAGTGGAGAAACTTGCATTTATCCGCAGGTTTGTGAATTGTTATCAAATTTTTGTTTTTTGACTCAACACCGTTCAAGAACTCATTTCTGTGTGGACATTTCTTTAAAACATTGATTAAAGGCACAAAAATGTAAATTTTCAGTTACCACGGACTCTTAAGCTAAGGAAATGACTAATCTTTGGCGGCCATTTTCTCACTAATTTTACCTCTGAAAACAGGTGACCCCAACCTTCTTCATTCGCAAAATATCTCCACTTGTATTCAAGATAAATGGATATTTTTTTCATACAAATAAAGACAAGCGAACAAGCTTTAAGATTATACTAATAACTCTACATGCTCAAAAATTGACGAGAGCCTGATTCCACCACGCAGCCTCATATATGACATAATTTTGTAACAAATACCGTCAAACTTTTGCTAAAACTATATCAAAGCCCATCTATCATGCAATCAATTGGTTAATACGTCGCTTTCGAAACAATCCAAGCGGAAGGAATCTCCATACGTTCAATGAAAGCGCACCATGGTCTCGTGATTATTATTTCTACGTCACTTTTCAACATCTTTACTCAGAGTGATTAACCATAGCGGGCTGTAAGCGGGTGTTCTGGTGTGGTTTACTCCTTCTTTCCTATCAAATAATATATTCTATCGTACGTGTCTGCAGTCCTCCTCCTTTTCTTTGCGTGATACTATCTAGTAAAACCTATAATCTGCGGTATTGTAAAGACCTACTTGTGTTACAATTGCCGTAAAAGTCTTAGTAAGACTAAAACAAGTCTGAGAGGAGATCAAATGTGTTTAAAACGCTCAACACTTAAAAAGCCACCAAAGGCAACCAACCACCTATGAGTAGCCTTTTCTGTAATTATAAAATTATATTCAAAGAATTCCCACATAATTTGATATACATGCTTTTCATATTAATCAGTGGCAAGAAACCATAATTAGTTCTCTACCAAGAAAAAAACAACAACTCTGCATGCCTGTCGGACAACTTTTAACTGTCAAGCACATTTTCTCAGAGACTCTATCGGTGAAGCATCGTGTTGAAATCAGGCGCTCGTCAGAATAATGAAAGCGAAGACAATGGCATTTGCCCCCCGATATGGCGATTTTAAAATATATTCGAAGTTGGTTGTAGTTGTTGCTTTTTTTCCTCTCATCTTTTATGTTGATTTAAAACATATTGCTGTGTGGATTTTACTGAAAAACGTTGATGACAAGCACAAGAAATGTAAATTTTCGGTTTCCAAAGACTTTCAACCTATAAATAGAGGTCACCAATCTTAGATAGCTACTTTCACTCTTACTTTATCTGTGAAATGAGGCAGCACTACCTCCTTCAACTGCAACTGTTCCTATTTTTATTCTAGATAGACAGGTATTTTTTTTCATAGAAAGCAAGACAAATGAACTAAATTTATGAAGTCACCAATAACTCTATACACCCAAAATTGACGTGCGACTGATTCCACCTTGTCGTTACACTTTATTGGTGTTATCGGGTGACCCAGAATGAGATGACGATGATAGGGATTTTTTCCCTCTCTCACGTGTTTGTGACGTGGGTAGTTGGCCGATTAAAAAGTAAGAGAGAACAATGGGGGAGATTGATGCATGTAGATACAGCGGGAGGGAGATGATTGGGGAGGGAGGGAGAGAGAGAGAGAGAGAGAGAGAGAGAGAGAGAGAGAGAGAGAGAGAAATAGAGAGGGGGGGGAGAGAGGGAGAGAGAGGGGTAGAGAGAGAGAGAGAGAGAGGGGTAGAGAGAGAGAGAGAGAGAAATACAAAGAGAGAAAGAGGGAAAGAAAAGAAGTGATAGATAGATAGATAGATAGATAGATAGATAGATAGATAGATAGATAGATAGATAGATAGATAGATAGATAGATAGATAGATAGATAGATAGATAGATAAAGATACAGAATGAGAAAGAGACAGAGGGACAGAGAGAGAAAAAAGAAAGATTGAGAGAGAGAGAGAGAGAGAGAGAGAGAGAGAGAGAGAGAGAGAGAGAGAGAGAGAGAGAGAGAGAGAGAGAGAGAGAGCCTTTAATCCAGTTTTAAACCAACACAGATCTTGTCTGATTTGATATCGTGCTGGGTAGAAGCTGGTCAACAGAGAAATTCGCTTTAGCTTCAGAAGGAGAGAAAGAGAAAAGGGGGAGTTATAGAGAGAGACATTGAGAGAGAGAGGGAGGCAAAGGGGGGGGCAAAGGGGGGTAGATAAAGGGAGCAAGAGAGGGAGAGGGAGAGAAAGAGAGTGAGAGAGAGAGAGAGAGAGAGAGAGAGAAAGAGAGAGAGAAAGAGAGAAAAAAAGAGATAGAAAGAAAGAGAGGTAGATTTAGTGGAATAAAAATATATCACCAATGGAAGAGACGCTGTTTGTTTGCAAAGCTGAAGTAAATTCGTTTTACAGTTCTATGATGTACCCCCTCCCATGGTATGGGTGGTTAGGGGGTGTCAGTTGTCGGCCCTACTTGTTTTTCCCCCCTGTCTTGTCTTGTTCGTCTGTCTTTCTATTTCCATGAACTCAATAAAACCGACATTGTGTCGATATGCTTCTTTCCCTTCCTCTGTCTTTTCTTGTCTGTCTGTCTTTCAACTTCCCTGAACATAATGAAGCCAATATTGCGGTGGTTTGCTTCTTTTACTTCCTTTTGTCTTTTTTTGTCAGTCTGTCTTTCTATCTTCATACACTTAATAAAGCCGATATTGTGTTGGTATGCTCCTATTTTCTCAAACGAACTAACAGATCCATCTATTGAAGGATCCCGCAACTTCCTAATCCCAAGTCTCCCCATTAATTTTGATTTCATTAACTGCAGTTTAATTACATACTTCCGTCTTTTTATTTCCGTACACTCAATAAAGCTAATGTTGTGTCGATATGATTCTATTTTCTGAAACGAACTAACAGAATTTTATTCATCTATCGAAGGATCTCACAATTTTCCAACTCCAAGTCTCTACATCACTTTTGATTTTATTAACTGCAGTTAAATTCCGTAATACATATTACTTGCTCTCTCTCTATACTGTAAAGTACAGAAGGTGGAGAGCAGTCGACGCCACATTTAATTACAATCAACTGTCATTCATATATTAAATCTCCGCCAAAGGCAAATTTCTTCTCTGTGGTGAGTCAAAAAAGAGAAAATCGTAGATTAAAGAACATTTCTTCATTGGAGGTTGAAGTTACACAAAGGAATCAAAACTCCGTCCCTCCGACGAATTTCCACGTTATTTTAACCTTGCCTAATACATCCCATTGTTAACCCCTACTTTGACAAAACTATAGACCGCATTGATGAAGTCGTTATCATCTCTCTTCCTCTATCTATGTTGCCAAAAATGTCCGCCGTTAAAACCCAGTAGAAGCGACACAGTGATACAAAAGAGATAGAGATTAAAACCGTTGGGACTGTGTTAAAAAAATGAAACCAACCTCGAAACGTTTGCTTCGAGATAGAAAGGCTTGGGTTTGATTTTGGGACACCTTATCAATTGTTGGCAGGGGTGATAACAAGTGATAAAAGAGGACAGAGGCTGATTCAGTTTTATAGGGAGAGCAACGCCCCCTTCTTCATCAGTCCAAATCATTTCCTCGCCGTCCATCGTATAGGTCTGACGTCTTTTCTTTGGAGGACTTTTCCAAGTTGGAAAGATGAAGCTGAAAGTTCTTTTGCTGCTTGCAGGTATTTCATTTAATGTTTTACTTACCTCTGCTCTTTCGGCAGAATTATTCTTTTTTGCTGTTGTTTTTTGTGATGAATGTAGATGTGTTTGCGGCCCTCACCTACATAATTTAAATCATTTAGTAGGAGGGCTTCTGGGGGATACAACATCTCAGTTGAAAGAATGAGATATTGGATAAAGACCACCTCCCAAAGAAAAAAGCAAACAAAAAGAAAAGTAAAGAAACAAAAAACAACCAAATTAAAAACCCACGGGAAGCGAACTCAGATCTCTTAAGGGCGACAGCTAGGCGTCTAACGTCTCTACCACAGACATCTGTGTTTTTTCCCAAAGATATTCAGACTTCGTTATAGTTTTAGTTACAGTTAAATTGTATAATGCTTAGACCCATCGCCTTCACAGGCTCTGTAGAGGACGCGAGCTGGATTCCCATATGGGGGGAATTTAGATTGAGTATCTCAATCATCGGTTTCTTAGGAGACTACTGGGAATATGTAGGCAAGCTGCGGATTTCACACGCTCAAACACTATCAAACTGACAAGATCGTTCACTGTCTATAGCCGGGTACCCATTTCCACCTGGGTGAATTGAGGAACATTTGTCCAAAGTGCCTTTTCCAAGGACACAACGTCGGGCCCCTGACGTGATTCGAACCCACGACCTTACGGTTGCGAGTCCGAGAGCCTAACCACTAGGCCACCGACGCCATATGAGGTAGTATCTGAAGAAGCATACGTGGGTTGCGCACTGTTTAAAACACTCAGGAAAAGACAAATGCAGTTTCTTGGATACTTAAACAGACATAAAGTCCTCGAATTTCTAGATCTCATCGGTACAATTGAAGGCAAACGAGGCAGGGGTAGACCTAGAGCAACCTACTTGGAGAGCCGAAACAGATGGGCGACCGAGAAATCTCAAGATAATGTAACTTCTGGGCAAAGGAATAAATGGAGAACCATGATCGCCAATGTCTCGCAAACCTGGCACATGATGATGATAATGGTGTTTAATCTACAACTGTCTGTTCTCTCTCTCTCTTTTTCTTTCTCTCTCTCTCTCTCTCTCTCTGTCTCTCTCTCTCTCTGTCTCTCTCTCTCTATCTCTCCCCCCCTCTCTCTCTGTGTATCTACCACTTCTTGTGTAAGTGTCCCCCTTTCTCTGGCCTTTCAGATGTGTGTTCACCTCACCTTTTAGCGTTGTGACATGAATGTATGCACTTTGGTTTCTACAACTAGTATAGTCATTTATATTTTGAATGTTCCTGATGAAGCCAGTAGAGGGCGAAACGTTGAACACGTCATTAAATATTCGGGAAATATAACCAAGTTTCAACCTTTTTACTCTCTGCTGGATACAATGATGATAATGATGATGATGATGATGATGATGATGATGATGATAATGATGATGATGATGATGGTGATGATGATGATGGTCTCAGTCTCTTTGCTTGCTGCGACGTTGTATCCTTCTCAACCCGGGTTAGCCATGACAGGTAGAGCCAAAGCAGCCAGCCTCTTAGCTAATCTAATAGTGCCCACAAAGGCGGCGAACGTCTACACTTACGATTACAATATTTGTGTCAAGACGTGATGGAATCAGACGCTCGTCAATTTTTGGGCATGTGGAGATATGGATACCATCTGAAAGTTTATTCATTTGCCTTGCTTTCAGTGAAAAAATAAATATTATCCATTTTGCTTGAATAGGAGCTGAGATTTTTGCTATTGAAGAAGGTGGGGCAGCCTGATTTCAGTGGTTAAATTGATGAGAAGAGGGCAGCCAAGGTTTGGTAACTTCAATAGGCTGCTTAAGAGTCCTTGAAAACTGAAAATTACATATTTTGTTCCTAAAACTAGTTTTGTTTCGGTAAAATTCACATGGAAATTTGTTTTCATTTGAACATAAAAGGTGTTTAGCCAAAAAACACAATTTTGGTATAAATTGTCAAACTTGTGGAAAACTCCCATTTCTTCCATTTCACTATTTTGACGAGCGCCTCAGTACACCCTTCAACACAGGAGAGCCTAACTCCTGACAGACCCAGCTGAAGAGCAGCAGTCACCGCGGGCAGGAACTCACAATACGAGGCTTCTCGAATAAGAGACGCTGAAGCCAAGATAGAAGTTCGCAAGCTGCACCCACAAGCGGAAGTGGAGCTTCTTAAATGTTCAAAATTAATTGGCAAACTTTTCTCTTCCAGAATTGGTCTAATTGACCACAGCAGAAGCCAACAGTCTTCTTAACTCATTAAAGACCTGCAAGTGGCGTCGGTGGTCTAGTGGTTAGGCTACATGTGGACTCGTAATCGTGAGATTGCGGGTTCGGGGGTTCGAGCATCAGCTCGGTCCGACGTTGTGTCCTTGGGAAAGGCACTTTACACGAACTTCCCACTTGGCTCGGTCCTATCGGATACGGACGTTAAACTAGGAAGTCCCGCCCTTCAAATAACCTAATAGTGTTGATAGGGCCGTTAAACCCATACCATTTCACCATTTTATAACGACGTGCAGTCTGTTTTGGAGCAAAGCGTCGTCATTTAAATAGATCTTTCAATTTAATTTTTTTCTTTTTTAAAATTTGAAACTTTAAAAGATATGCAGCAATATGCACAGTACGGAATGTACAAATTCGTGTTTCTGATTTGTGTATGTTGGTTCGAAATGTGCCAAATCATTGCCTTGCTTTATTGCTGATCGTACATAATATGTGTCCGATATGTTCTCAAAGGGTTAACCTTTAATTCTTCTAATACGGGGTGCCCACTACGGATGCTGATGCTTCGTAGTGTTCCAAAATCAAGGTTATCCTAAATCCTGAAGATGTTCGGAGCCAACCAGGTAACCACCGGAATAATCACATCATTAGAAAATAAGTACATGTAATTGGGTTCGGAGTCGATTCCTACGATTCTTAGCTTTCAAAAATCGGGAACATAGCTGCCCAGTCCTACCTCACGACTCCTCACGTCTAGTCTAGTCGTGTCAGTGAAATCACCGATAGGAACTAAAGAGTGAAATCACCGATAGGAACTAAAGAGTGAAATCCCCGATAGGAAATAAAGAGTGAAATCCCCGATAGGAAATAAAGAGTGAAATCCCCGATAGGAAATAAAGAGTGAAATCACCGATAGGAAATAAAGAGTGAAATCACCGATAGGAAATAAAGAGTGAAATCACCGATAGGAAATAAAGAGTGAAATCACTGATAGGAAATAAAGAGTGAAATCACCGATAGGAAATAAAGAGTGAAATCACCGATAGGAAATAAAGAGTGAAATCCCCGATAGGAAATAAAGAATGAAATCCCCGATAGGAAATAAAGAGTGAAATCCCCGATAGGAAATAAAGAGTGAAATCCCCGATAGGAAATAAAGAGTGAAATCCCCGATAGGAAATAAAGAGTGAAATCCCCGATAGGAAATAAAGAGTGAAATCCCCGATAGGAAATAAAGAGTGAAATCACCGATAGGAAATAAAGAGTGAAATCACCGATAGGAAATAAAGAGTGAAATCACCGATAGGAAATAAAGAGTGAAATCACCGATAGGAAATAAAGAGTGAAATCACCGATAGGAAATAAAGAGTGAAATCACCGATAGGAAATAAAGAGGAGGGCACGACGTTTTTCGCTGTGCACTTCAGTTGTGCGTGGCGGAAGTATATTCTATATTAATATTTTCAGCCTCACACCGAGGTTTTACAGTATTCAGAGCATTGTCCCCCCGAACATCTTCTCTTCCACCCACAGGCTTTGCTGTTTTTGCTGAGTCGGCATGTCCCGGTTGCGACACCGCCGAAACCCTCAAAGTGACAGTTGGCTCTTTGGACTTCCAAAAAGATTGCACGTAAGTCTGCAGCGATTTTATTTTTTTTGGTGTTTATTTTTTTTGGTCTTTGGGTTGTTTTATTTTGTTGTTGGTTTGTTGCTGTTTTCTTCTTTTTTCGGGCGGGGGGGGGGGGGGTTGTCTTTTGTGGATTTTTAATTTTTGGAGAAGGGGGAGGGGGAGGGGGAGGAGGGAACTACGGCTGTGTGTGAAAAGACAGAGGAAAAGAAAAGCAGAGGGAAACAAAGAACTACATGCACAGATGGCCTGAAGGCCTGAATATTATGTTTGCAACGGATAACACACAGAGAAAAACACGAACGAAATGATCAAGAAGACAGACAGCAGGAAGGAATGGGGTACCATGATCGTCAATATCTGCTCCAGACACCTGAAGGAGAAGAAGAAAGGATGAAAGGGGGGGGGGGAGGCGGTGAGGAATTGTAACTATGCATTGATAGCATGGATTATCTTTCGATTTTTCTTTTGTTCTGAACTGTTTGTTTTTTAAAATATAATCCAGTACGCTTCCCGGGAAGCTGAGAATGTTTCAGTCCTAACACGACCAGGTTTCGAACCTGGGACCTATTGAATGAGAGGCGAACCCCTTTACCTCTAGGCCACGAGAGCCCCCTCTCTGATCTTCAGCACTTACATAGTTACATCCCAGCGGAAAGACTGAGATACTCGATAAAAATTCTGCCCTCTTAGGAATCGAACTTGGATCTCCAGCATGAGCAGCAAAGCGCCTTACCGCCATACCCCAGACGTCGGTACATGTTGTAGGGATGTTGCTAGTTTTGTAGTTAATGTTGGTAATAACAATAATATTAATAATAATAACAATAATATTAATAATAATGATAATAGTAATAATAATAATAATAAAAACAATAGCAATAGTAAAAATAATAAATAATAATAACAAAAGTAATAATAATAATAATAACAATGATAATAATAGTAATAATAATAGTAATAAATAATAATAATAATAATAATAATAATAATAATAATAATAATAATAATAATAATAATAATAGTAGTAGTAGTAGTAGATCCTGGCACATTGGTTTGGTGTTTCACCACATGTACACACACACACACACACACACACACACACACACACACACACACACACACACACACACACACACACATACGCGCACACACACACATGCACACCCACGTAGGCTTACAATCATATGCATAATATAAATGAGCAGCAATATAAACAATAATAATCGTAAGCTAGATACACACTCAATGTTATTTTAATGCATGCTCTAAGGTCGTAAGTATACTTATGCAAGATGGTTAAGATGGAAGCATTTTGATAGATGATGGTAAAAATGACCTTCTGTATCTTTCTTTGTTACATATCAGAAGCCTAGATCTTTTACTTCTGACTGATGTTTTTATTTGAGGGAACAAGGGATGTTTGTTGTCTAAAAAGATGGAATTAATTTTTTTAGTTCAAGCTCTTTTGTACAATTCATCCAAGTAGGGGAATGTTTATGTTGAAATTTTACATGCTTTCCGTATTAGTCGATTTAATTTTTCTTTATCTTGTTGTCTTGTGCTCCCAGTCCATGCTGTTATACAAAAATAGATCATACTTTCTATGGTTAAATGGTAGAACATGGACATCAATACAGTGCAGGACAGTGCAAGCTGTGGATTGTGCGAGCTAGAACACAAACAAGCCGACAAAATCTTTCCGCTGTTTATTTGTTCCTTCATTTATTTATCTCCCTCCTAGTGCTTACAAAACCGCCTATGACTGCAACGCAAAATGTCCAGATGTCCAGAAGGCTATGACCAGCGATATGGCTGATATCTGTGGTAAGTTTCTTTAGTTTGGTAACTGTAAAGTCGAGACCGTAGTTTGCCCATGCTTGGTCTTGAGGTGATAAGTTTCCTTTCAGTCTAGCATGCATGAAAAGAAATCGGCGGAGCGAGGAAATCTTTTCATTATGTACGAATTTCGCTATATACGTGATTTAGATACAAAGACCATAATAAAGTATAGGTAAAAATATGAGACCTAAAATCTCTTTGTTATGTGCGTGTTTTGTTACTTGTGTGTTTCGCTGTGTGTGTGTTTCGCTGTGTGTGTGTTTCGCTGTGTGTGTGTGTTTCGCTATACGATATGTGTGCTGGACTGTATTTTCGTTGTACTTGTAACTATAAACACCTTGACAACCCCCCACTGCTCCCCCCACGAACAACCCCCCACTGC